AAAAAAAAAAAAGACAGTAAGATATCTTGTCCTACATTAGGATGACAGTTATCAGAAGACAAGAAATAAATGTCAGGGAGAATGTGGAGAAAAAAAAAATCTTTGCACAAAGCTGCTGGGAATTTGTAGCAGCCATTATGGAAAATAGTACAGAACTTACTAACAAAAAAAAAAAAAAAAAAAAAACTGTGAAAATTTAGATCTCTTTCCCATCTTGAAAGATGGCACACAAAAAAACTGAGAAGCCAGACACTAAAGAGAGAAACCCAAAGCCAAGAAGGCTGCTGCCAGTGGTACTGGGAAAAAAGGGTAAAGTGAAGGCAAAAAAAGTCCAAGAGGCAGCCCCACTGCAGCCGAAATCCTGTCCTGATTAGAGGAACTGGTAGAACTCCTGATCTGCCATGTATTCCAGAAAGGCTTTGTACAAAAGAAAGTACACAGCTGCTAAATTGAAGGTTGAGAAGAAAAAGAAGGAGAAATCTCTTGCTACAATCACAAAACCGGTCAGTGGGAACAAGAATGGAGGTATCTAGGTGGTTAAGCTTCAAAAAATGCCTAGATACTACACTACTGAAGCTGTGCCCCGAAAGCTCTTGAGCAAGAAACCCATCAGTCAGCACGTGAGGAAACTTGGAGCTAGCATCACTCCCGGCATCTTGATCATCCTCACCGGACATCACAGAGGCAAGAGAGTGGTCTTTCTGAAGCAGTTGGCCAGTGGCTTGCTGCTGGTAACCGGGCTCTTAGCCTTAATTGTGTTCCTCAATGAAAAGCACACCAGAAGTTTGTCATTGCCACCTCGACAAAAATTGCTATCAGCAAAGTGAAAATCCCCAAACACCTCACCAATGCTTACTTACTTCAAGCAGAAGCTGTCAAAACCCAGACGCCAGGAGGGCAAGATCTTTGACACTGAGAAAGAGAGATATCAGATTTCAGAGCAGCGCAAGGTGGATCAGAAAGCAGTGGACTCACAGATTTTAGCAAAAATCAAAGCTGCTCCTCAGCTCCAAGGTTACCTGCCATCTGTTATTGCTCTAACAATGGAATTTATCCTCATAAATTAGTGTCCTAATTTCTTATTGAGAACTTAATTAAATAACTGATACATTTTTAAAAAAAAGTAACTGCTGACAGAAAATTATTTTTAGTTAAAAAAAAGGGGGGGGACAAAACTTTCTTTTTAAAAAACACGTAGAGGGCCGTGGAGGTAGTTCAGTGACCTAAGTGCCTACCTAAGCAAGAGCAAGGACCCTGGTTCAGTCCCCGGTACCGTATGCCATGCTGAGCTGGCCACCGGGACCGGGCGTAGTGGCGCACCCTGTAATCCCAGGGCTGGGGAGGCTGAGATAGGAGGATCACTATCAGTCTGAGCTGCATAATGAGACCCCTGTACCAAATACATAAAAATAAAATTTAAAAAAAGAAAAAAATCTCTTAGGGAGTCACATTGGTTTCATATAAATATCAGTTGTTGAATGGGTAGAAGAATTAAGTTTAGCCAAGAGTGAGGGCAGCACTAGATCACTAGATTGTGTATATTGAAGTTCACTTTTCCAAATGTGAAAAATGCCTCGAATGAGATTTGATATACCAAGAAGATCTGAATAAAAAAAGTAAGAAAGGAAAGTCCTTGAGGGTGATTTTGAAAGCTGCTTTAGGCCTTCCTTCTTTGCCCCCTTCCTTTCCCTTTCTCTCATCATCATTCTTGTATTTTCTGACTCATTTCATTCACTCTCTACAAAATAACTTTTCAGATATTTTTAGCTTCCCTCAGGGACTCTGATTCTGAATGTTCTGCAACTTTGTCAATAAAACTCAAAGTTGTCAAGGCAGATATTCACAAGATAATAAAGAAAACATTACTTGAGGATAAGGAAATAACACTTTGTGAAGGGCCTAGCGCATCCCAAGTATGAGGCTAAGTCCCTTTTACATATCACCTGATTCACTCGTACAATGTCTGAGCCTAGTTATACTTTCAATTTCATGTTGGGGAAGAGGAAACCGAGATACAGAAACATTAAATTACTAATAATTAGCCAATTCACTGATAATTAGCCAGCATGAACTTCAAACCCAAGACTTTAACTCGTAACCCCACCACCTAAGTGACCTAGAAAGTGTCCTAGAAAGATCTACTGCTGGTCCAGGGATATAGCTCAGTGACATATGCACCTGCCTGGCATGCACGAGGTTCTGAGCTTGATCTCTGGTAACAGGAAAAAAAAGGAAAAGAAGAAATCAAGATCTACTGCTCAAAGGAGGTTGACTCATCCAGTCCCACAAAGCTCCAGTGCTGACCTGGGGAAGGAATTTCTACATATTGTAATTTGCAAAGACATCATTTTGAAACAGGAATCTCTGACCAAGGATATTGGCTACCAGCAAATATTTGTTCAATTAGCTTTTTAAATTGACAAGCTCCAAAGGTAATGAATGAATCAATTTATCCAACAATAAATCAGCCTGTTGTCAAATATCTATGCAACAACTATTACAGCCCAAGCATGCTACTTAGGACCTGTGGAGGACAAAAAGAGACAAGGCAGAGAAAACGTCCTATTTGAAGGAAGCATGGCCTTATGCAGAGAGAAGGCTAAAAGATGTGATAGGGGTAATCGACATTATGCAGTTGCTTCGCATGGGGTACAAGCCATAGCTCCTCCAGGACTCAAAAGAGAAGTAAGCTTACCAAGGAGTCAAGCAGCCACACCTGCTGCAAGGGAGCTCCTCCAGCCATTACTCTCAGTCAGAACCCTAGACCTCACTTTCTGCCCTTTGGGGCCCACTGAAGTCCTTCACAAATCCAGAAAAAATTGTATTTCTCGTCATAATTTCCCCAGAACCCCAAAGTTAGCATTAGTACCTTCTCCTTCATGGTAATGCTACAATTTGTACATAAGACATACCCCTGGCTTACCACTTCACAGAGAAAGCTACTGAGTCTGACTTCCCACCAGACTGATCTCTGCTCTAGAGTTTGCCTATTTCATCATTTGTACTGCCAGCCCCAGGCCTAGCAACACAAAAGCCACTCACTGAATGTTTGATTCATGAATTAAAGAATGAATCACAATAGGGTCAGCCAGATAGCTCAGTGGAGTAAAAATCCTGCCTATGCAGAGCACAGAGGATGGGCTTTGATCCCTGGTGTGTCGTGCCAGCCCCACCCCAGGGCACACTAAGACAGCGATTGAGACTGAGCATGGTGGTGTACACCTGTAATCCCAGTGCTTGGGAGGCTGAAAACATGAGAATCACTATCAGTCTGATCTACATAGTGAGACCCTGTAGACCCTGCAGATCCTGTACCAAATACATTTAAAAAAAAAAAAAAGAAAGAAAGAAAGAAAAGAAAAGAATGAATCACAGAATCTGAGTCTAGGACCCATAGGATATTGGATTCCATCCTGTATGTGAATGATTAATCTCCTGTTTATATTATCTCCAAAAAAATGTTATCTAGGTTCTATCTGATTAAAGCCAATTTCGGAGCTTAGACTCTTGGAAAGCTGTTGTAGCAGGCTGATGTTTGCATTACAAAGTCAGTGAGATTAAGAGTAACTGCTTATGTGCAGCTTTGCGAAGTGTGTGCAGGGCAGTCCACTTCCCTGCCCAAGGCCTCCACAGTTAGCTCACGGCACAGCCTGATTCCCTGTGCCCGCCTGACAGCTGAAGTAGATGTGTTCCTTTCTGCTGAACTAGCCTAGTGCTTCCAGTTAGCAAGTGTATACCCGAAGCTCCAGCGCCCAAGACAAACAAGCACTCTCCACTGGTGCCTGTATACAGGAGCCTGTTCCTTTGTCCAGGACGCCATAGCAAGGTGAACACCACTAGTCCCTCCCCAGAGAAGTGACTCGTCCCCCTGTGACCTCCTCTCCAGTTTCAGTAAGCCATACAGGAAAGTTGCCTCACCTTCTTCTCAACCCATCTCTAAGTAATGGCTCCTCATCGTCCCCTGAGCAACCTGCTTTACTTCCTGCTGGCTTGTCAGGGCCACCAGTGTCCCACTTTGCTCACATTTCCTGACTTTCTAGAGCCAGCATGCTTTGATGTGTAGCCACAAATAGCTTCTTTTCTCTGCAAACCACTCTTTCCTCTAGTCATTTTGTCCATAAAAATGGAATTTGGGGGGGGGGGGGGAACCGGGGATTGAACTCAGGCTCTTGCGCTTGCCAGACAAGCACTTGTTCTACTGAGCCATCTCCATGGCCCCAAAAATGGTTATTCTTTATTGCATAACTACAATACCTCACAAAATGACTAGCACTATAACCTTGAATTCAAATGAGAATGAAGCCCAGACAAGTGAAGAGTCTTCCTACCCCCAAGCTGATTCATAAGAGAACAGGGATCCGACACAGACGTGCCTGGACCCGGGACCCACACACTAACTCCTTCTCTAACTGTAGGGCCGCTACTCCTTTCACACCTGGGAGGGGGAAAATTACTCAAGTTTCTTGTTTCTGTAGTATCTGTGAGAGCCTAAAGCATGACTTCCTCTGAAAGGAATCTTTCTGCTCTTCCCTGGTAAATCCCATCCGCTTGCTACCGGAACTCACCAGCCCTACAGCACATCGGTGGACACCTGAAAAAGGGACCTTTGCATTCAGGTAAATACAGCAAGGAAGCTATTGTTATTTTCTCCACTTTATGATGCCCAGAGAGATTAAATGGTCTAAGATCACGCAGTTCTAGCTGACAGAGCTGGCTGTTTAATCAATATTGCCTCACAGATCGGTTTCCATAACCTGTGCCCGTAGCCATGTGCCAGTTGTCTAGAGGTGAGTCAGGTCGGACTGATAGAGGAGGGATGGCTTCCCGCACCTTCCCTTCTACTACAAATAATCAGAGCGGCCACCCTCCTGCGTCCAGTGGCAAGCATAAAACTCTTACAGGTGAAAGAAGTATTTACCAGCAACACAGCTGGAGCCTTGGCATACGATGGGGACACCTGATGCAGAACATGTCCTGCAGCAGCACCTGCGAGGGCCACGAGGCTCAAGGCACGTGGTCTGAACTTCACCCTCCAGCTGCAGTGTGTCTTTGCGCAACACGCCCACAGCGATCTGAATCTGTGTCGTAGATGAGGAAAGCACGGATCTGACAGGGAGAGCCTCTTCTGGCCTGCTCCTGTACTCGGTGCTAAGGCCGGGGATGCAAGGCTGGAGGCAGCTCCGTTCAGAATGCAAGTCCTGCCCACTAAAGCTTTCAGTTTCAGCCACTCTGCCAGAATATGCAGCCTCAACCACCGCTGCACTCACGCCCGGCGCCAGCTCGAGTTGAGGGGTGGAAACATAACCGAGCCCAGAGGTTAAACTAGAGACCTGAACATTTCTCGCTGTACACTCGAGCACACCAGACAAGCCCACAGGGGACTTGCCTGAGAAAATCCCTTAATCTTCCAAAATCTTTTTCCTGGTTTGTTAGAGCAGCCAAGGGTGGGGTTAGGGTTTTTGTGAATAAAAAGCTCCATTTCGTTTTCCCCACACAGGAGAACATGGCCAAACGAGTTGCAGTCGTGGGAGCCGGGGTCAGCGGCCTGGCCTCCATCAAGTGCTGCTTGGAGGAGGGCCTGCAGCCCACCTGCTTTGAGAGGAGCGACGACCTCGGGGGTCTGTGGAGATTCACCGTAAGTGGGGTCACAACTGCTTTTATTTGCCTATTAGAGAATGGCTTCACTGGTGTATATCTTCCACTTGCTCTGGATTGGCTGGAAATTTCTGTTGAGTGAGGGGAGGACAGGAGGGGCCACAGAAACTGTAAAAGACAGAAGCAGGCTGAGCTCTGGAGGAGGGAGATGTGTCAGCCGCCTTGTTAACTTTGCAAGGGGCTATGAGGAAAAAGTGTTTTCAAAGTGAGGAAGGGAATGGAATGACTGGGACACCCCAGGAAAGCCAGGACCAGGAGAGCAGAACCAGGACCAGGGGGTCCAGGACAGAACCACAGATGACAGTGCTTGGGATTTCAGGCCCTGTCTGCCAGACTTGGCTGCTTTCACTCATCATTTTTTCCAGCCCTGTTCCATGTAGGTTAAAGTGACACAGAACTGAGGGTGGATGAGTTCCACAACTGGGCCCTACTGCCCAGGCAGTCCCAGTCTGTGCCAAGAACAATCAGAAATAAAGAACAGGGGAAGGGAGTCATTTTTTCTCCCTGAGTAAAAGAGAAGTAGTTCTACCAATTCTCACCAGGGTCGCAGTTGGATTGGAGAGCAGGCTGCAAAGCCCACCCTGACTGGCCTGGAGCCCAGGGCATCACAATGGCCCTGCTTCAGGCCATTGAGACCCTCAAGCCAGCAGAGAAAAGCGTCTGTGAGCCCCGTGCCCCAGCCCCAGCAGCTTTTGGGTCAGAGCTCCTCACTCTGCCCTTCAAGGGAAAAACATTTCCCATGAACTTTAAACGTGCTAAGGAGAAAACTGCCAAGAATAGTAAAAAGTAAAATGTCAAAGTGCCTGGCCTCCAGTCCTCTGAGAAGCCAAGAGAAAGACTTGCAGAAGGGTGAAATTTAAGTGGGGATAAGGTAATTATTTTCTATCTGAGAGAGCATGGCTTATAAGAGAGTTGCAAGTGTAGTCCCATTTCCCTGGCATAGGGTGGCTCATATATAAATTTGCTTATCTTTTTATTTTGTGGCTGGCTCAGCCCACCGTGGGGCCAGGGCTGGCACAGCTGGCATAGCAGGTGGTGCCAAGGATTGAACCACAATCCCTGTACACTTGCCTAAGCACTTCAGACTGCTGAGCTATCTCGTCAAACCAAAGAATTGCTTATCTTAAAATGTTCCCAACCACCAAGAAGGATCATCAACAGAGATTTTTCAAAGAGAAGCAAGTAAAACAGAATGTCAATTGCCATCATTCAAGGTGTTTCTATTTCCGTAGGATGGAAGAATTCTCCTCTTCTATGCTCACTGAATACTCAGTAACAACCAATCAACCTTTTCCATGAAGAATCTCAAATTCTTAGCAGGAGAGTTCAGATAAACACAAATGGACAATCAGTTGAGGGTTCACTTAAAAGATTAACATGCCCAGTTATCTGGGAAATGTAATCTCAGTCAACATAAGGTATAAGTCCAAAGATCAAAAGCTATGCTATTCCTCTTGAGACGCAAGTCAAAATGCTCCTTGGGACACAAGACACTTCATTATTAATATGACCATACCTAAGAATTGAGAGAAATGGGTCTAAATCCAGCGATGTCTAACTGGCTGTGTTGCTACGGTAGATCAAATAATTATGCAGAAAGCACTATGGGGGACACAAAAATGAGAAACATTCCCCATGGAGCTGTCAGGCAGACAGAAGAAGGCTAAGTCCCTGTAAATCAGTAACAGTGCTGATTTAAAGGAGAGCTGGATTATAACTACTTCTGCAAAGTTAGGGGGGTTCATAAAAGAAATAGCCTATGATGGGCCTGAAAGGACATCAGCAGTCAGAAGAGACTGAGCAGAAGATACCAGGAAGGGAACCAGGGAAGAAAAATGTTCAGAAAATGAAAACAGCCTATTGGTTCCTGTAAGAAGAATAACAGGAAGGAAGAGGTTGGCTGGATCAAGAGGTTGAAATTTAGTTCACAATGCCATGAGTAGCCAGCAAATTTAAGGGAGTTGTTTGTTGACATTGTTGTCAGTTTGCTGTTATGTTTGTTTTGTGTGCGTAATGGGAAGACCCAAAGTTCTTTGTAGATGAAGAGAAAAATCTCTGGCTAATAGCAAAGAATTCAAAACACAAGTCCAAATTGTGACACGATCTTGGTGGAAAAAAGAAGTGAAATTCTAGGTGCAAGTAGAAGGGTTAGCAATGATAAAGCAAAGACAAGAGATAACCTCTAACGAGACTAAAGGGAGGG